GTCTTCTTGAGGGAAAATCTGGCTTCTTCATCAACCTTCATATATTGGAAAGAAATGGAAAAAGCTGGATTTTCATCAGGTGTCTCTTTTAAGCAAGCAAAACAAGCATATTTAACAGGAAAATCCTGGGGATTCTACAACTGCTCTGACCACTGAGGTTGGACGACCAGCCTGAAGCTTGGTTTTAAACAGGAGCCAGCAAAATACACATTACATTATTGTCTGCAATCTAAACATTGTTATGGTCTCCATATCACCCCCTGGCACTGCAGAACCTGTTTTTCTTCATCTGCTGGTCTGAGCCCTGGTGTTTGCCTGCCTAATATCACTAAGTTATTCGGAGTGTACTCCACCTATAAAAGCATTGCACGTGGCTTTTGACACACACAGGTTTGAATCTGCCCTTCTTGGTGTTGGTGGCTATGTCATTTATTTATCGACCAGACAAGTTTTCTCTCTTCATTTCCTTGTTTCCAATGTTTTGACTGGGAAATTGAGGTGCATTCAGTCATCATAATAAAAGTGCTCTAAGAGTGTGACAGGATCAGTCTGTCTGCTAACCATGGACTCCGCTGTGCTTTCAAAAATAGCAGTAAATTTTAGAGACTTCATGGATTGAATACATTTTATTAGTGTCAGCATTATTTTTCTTCTGTTTTAGAGGACAATTTTGTGAAAAGGTCAAGTCCTTTTCTCCTCAGTACTTTGAAGGAGTCAGGATGTTTTGGCCAAATTGTGAAAATGAATGAGCTCAAGAATAAAACCCCATAAAACTTTCTTTGTGCTTATTCTTTTGGTAAGGTGGTTGCAGAAGATTTTAGGACAAGTTTGAAGTGTTTCTGGATTTATATAGCAAGCAAGGTCTTTATTGAATTCTTGCTTTGCTTTTCACATTTCATTCCAACAATGATTAAGCCCATTAAGCACACAATCATACTGCATTTTAATTTCAAACTGGAGAGACAAATTGTGCCATATGTCCTGGAGTAAATGACTGCTGTTCAGAATCTAGCTTTTGCACTTTATTTGACTTGTTTAAGAATTATGGAATCATAGAAAACCACTTTTTATCTGGAGAAATTACAAGGTGCCATGTTTTAGCACCTTTACCCTCTATCCTATCACTTGTATTCCTGGAATAAATGATTATTTACTTGGTATATGAAGGCATTTTGCTGATTGTTCTGGCACCTTTTTTGCCTTCTTTGTGAGTTTACTGTCACAAATTCTTTAATAAATCAATTAGGTGGTGAATACTTTGCATTTCACTTATTGGTTTGTTCTTGTTAATATGTGTTTTTCCTTAAACATGTAGGGTTTTTTATCATTTAGGTTTTTTTGATAAAACAGACCTTGACAAATACAGTATCCATATGACAGAATATGACTTCTAGGAAATGAATAAAATAAATACTTGTGGGGTCAATAGAATAGATTAAAAAGAGAGAAAGATGTTCCACCCATTTTTTAAATGTGCAGGATTATCAACATTGCATGTACAGGCACACTCCAAGGCAAATTTGAGGCAGACTTCTATATAGAAATGCTGTTGTGCAACTTGGATAAGTAAGTTCTCTGCAAAATGACCTCTCCTAAAGAAGAAGCCTGCAATATAGAATCACAGACTCAGTCAGTTTGGAAAATGCCATGAGATCATCAAGTCCAACATGTGACCTAACCCCACCATATCAAATAGACCAGAGCACAAAGTGTCACAGAATCATAGAATCAACCATGTTGGAAAAGACCTCAAAGATCATGAAGTCCAATCCTACCACGGTTATTAGTCCATGGCACTAAGTGCCACATCCAGCCTCATCTTGAAAACCTCCAGGAACAGTGAATCCACCACCTCACAGGGCAGCCCATTCCAATTACTCTTCCTGTAAAAAAATCTCTTCTAATATCTAACCTAAACCTCCCCTGGCAGAGCTTGAGTCTGTGCCCTCTTGTCCTCCTGCTGGTTGCATGGGAGAAGAGACTGACCCTCATTTGACTCCAACCTTCTTTCAGGGAGTTGTAGAGGGTGATAAGGTCTCCCCTATGCCACCTCTTCTCCAGGCTAAACAATCCCAGCTTCTTCAGCCTCTCCTCATAGGACTTGTATGTATCATGTCCAGTTGTTCCTTAAACACTTCCAGGGATGGTGACTCCACCACCTCCTTGGACAGCACATTCCAGTGGCTAATCATCCTTTCTGTGAAGTAATTCTTCCCGATGTCTAAAGTAAACCTCCTCTGGTGCTGCTTGAATCTATGTCCA